AAAAAAAAAAAAATTAAAAAAATTAATTTCTACACCCATCGCCTAAGGCTAAGGGATAACACCCACACGAAAGCTTCAGAGATCTCATAAAACATATACTTTTTTGATTAGTATCAAATACTAAAGTCATTTAAGCATGTCCGTCTGTCCATCCGTCTGTGTTAAATAGTCTACTGGCTGCAAAAAGTCAGCCATCAAGTTTGGCAAAAGCATTAGAAGTTCTTGCACCCAGATTGGTGTTGCAAATGAGTCAAACCGGTCAAAGGACACGCGCACAGTACAATATAATTTGAGACCACCTTCACTTTTCAAAAATAAAAAAAAAATCTGCTTTTTTGCTCGTAACTTATAAAAACACGACAAACGCATGCATGTGCAATTTGCATTTATATTGTATGAACGGTCCCGCAGGACCTGTCCCAAACTGAAGAAAAAAAAACAAGTCGGCGCAGCTGGCTCGATATTATAGAATATTGAGATCCATTCTTTTGCCAAAACGTTTGCAGCACCACTCTCTTTAAATTCGACATGTTATTGATTAATATCAAATGTGAACCGTTCTAGACGTGTTTCTCAATCGATCTGTCCATCTGTCTTTTACTTGCTGTGGCAAATGTGCTCATGATCGTAAAAGTGGAGATATGTGCTTCAGACACACGATATTATTTTCTGCTTTTATTCAGCAAAAATAGAAAAAGCCAGACGCGCCCACCCAACATTATAAAATATAAAAATTTAGCTTTTTCTTTTTGTTCTTTTTTTTTTTTAGTCTGTTTAGCCACCCACTCGCAGATGATCGAGAATGTAATTGTCTTACTTGTTTTGCATGCATTTTATTAATCTGTTATGAGTTTCTAAATATTTTTAGTCTATGAAATGTGAATTGGGCATAAGTTGAGGAATTTTAAAATGCTTATAATACGAGTTAAGTATGTGTACATGAATATATATTTTAAAATTTCGAACAGAATTTTTGAATACTTAGTGAGCCATAAAATATTACGTAAGATGTTTATTTGGTTCAAAATTCTATTAACAGAAAGATAGGTTCAGGGAAGTGCATAAAGGAGACGCAATCTATACGGCCGTCCGCTGCATTTACGTTTGGCTTTTATGACGTAAAGCGAGCCTTGACTTTTATTGCCGCATTCCTCTCGTCTTTTTAATAAGAATATCTGGATAGTAGAAAATTTTATCGGACAAAAAAGTTGCAAGATATTCCATCTAAAACGGATTCAGCCAAAACAGTTCCATGAAGCAGAGAGCAATTAAGTTAATTGTAGATCCGATAGTGCTAAGCACGGAAAGGAGAAAAGTAAATTCAAAATCGACTGAATATGAATATAGATCATAATGCAGTCATGAGGATTTAGTCACAACAATCTAGGATCTATGTAGGAAAAAGTTAAAAAGCAATATGCAATTACCTCTATCTTCTGGACGTTGTAGTAATGAATGTCGAAAAAATTGATTGAAAAACATAAATGAAAATTCTACATCCATGCTTTGATGAATTTGAATCCAAGATTCATCACAATTCGTACAGACATACATGTGAGATCATATCTCATTGTTAAGGTTAAGCTTCCACACTTCACCTACGCAGAAGCTTCGCCGATAGATATGCGTTTTAAAGAATCCAAACGTTTCAAGAATTCCAACTGTTTCTCCTGAATCCAGTTGCACTCGCTATTCTCATTGCAGATATGTCTTCCTTTCTACAGCCTAACCATTTCAGGATTTTGTTTTGCACTTATCGACCAGATCATCTGTTTTCAATTTTACTTATTCATTTTGCAGTTCTGAGAATTCCTAATGGCTTTAACGGCTAAATACCAGTAACTACCCAAGACCACTTGACTTAATGCAGTTATGTTTTCGAGTAACAACTCCAAAGTAATGCGTTGTATGGGAAGGGATCGAAAAAGCGGTCCGATTCGTCCATGGGCCAAGGCACGTCGATGCAATAAACTTGATCAACATATCTCGAAAATTCTGACGTATAATTATAAACCCAAAAATACATAGAGAGGCAAGCAGACAAACAGACAGAGGTCTTTCATTCTATAGCAAAGTTTTACTTACCAAACAAAAGAATAACTTAACTAACTATTAATAATAATAAATATATGCAAATTGTTTTCGCGTCTGTTGCAGCAGTTCCCTGCCAAGCAGTCATTGACACGCCATTTTTATGTGCCGTTTTTCTTGTTCGAAGTACAAATTTTATAATTTTGAACCAGCACCGTTTTTGCGTTATGTGAGAGAAAATGTATTTCCCTTTCTTGTAAGTATGTAATATATGTAATATATTTATTATCTATTAAAATTACGAAGCAAAGAGGCAGCTAACAACTGAAATATTTACAGATCACCTATTAACAAGCTACGTGTACCGTTAACGGTACACGTCTCGAACAGTGTCAATGTACACAGCAATACATTTCATAATAGGGCGTTAGGAACAATTCATATTTAGTTTCTAATATTTTTGAGCTTGGTTGCGTAAATGAGTTCTATTGTGCGCTGAAAATGGTACACGTGGTAGGGAATATTTTAAATCTTAAAACCAAACATATTATTATTTTATTAGTGTTAGTGCTGCTAGCAGTTAACACTAGCTTTACGTCGCCCAAATACACAATAAACAGCGAGTGAAAACACTGTCTCGCAAATCAAACGTTTACATCATTCTAGTCAAGTCCGATTTGCATCGATTTGCAAAACGCGGCATGTCAGGCAACTTCGCAACTCGATTATATACTGTCCGCATTTGTGCATAGTATAGCGCCATAAGCACATTTTTATCACAGTACAGTAAAAGTCGAGAGAAGAATATTGAATGACGATAATTCTTTTTCTGGTTACGTGATACGCGATCATTCAAAGTAACTAGTCAAATTTCTTTCTTTTTGCTTTCCCAAAACAAATCTAACGTCCTGAAACTTGGAAAGTACCCAAAGCCCAAAATGCGGTTATGAAAAAACTTTATAAATTATTAAATCCATAAAAGTTGTAGTCAACATTGTCTTTACACCAGCCATCCATTATAAGCAATGTAGCAACCGGTGTCGTGTTTAACGTGGAGAATGTACCATCTTAAAGGTTTCACAGCCCGGATAGACTGATGAAAGACAACAATATACACATTGAAAATAGGTAATTTGTTTCATTACTATATTTATTGTTTATTCTTAAATTATACACATATTAGAAGAAATTGAATGATTGAGATTTCTTTATGGTGCTAGCATTTTTGAAAGTTCCTCATCTTGGAGACAGCCCTTTAAGAACTCTTCCTGCGTTAATTGACCATCATTGTTTTCATCCATTTTAGAGAATATATTCTTCGCTCTTTCCTCCGCCGAATCAGCGGGACGATTTGATGAACAAGCCCCAAGCATATCGTAGATTGCCTAAAATTGAAATCAATATCCATTTTTTATTCTATTCAGCGCAGCTGACAAAATTTGTATATACTATGTAGTGCAAAGGAAGATCACTAAAATTAATTAAACAAATTGTGATTTGATGTCCATCTTTCCCACAACAATAGTTCTATGATCAACTTTTAGTGGGAGTAAATATATATTATATATATATTTTTTTTTATATATTTATATATATATATATATATATATATATATATTTGGCCGAGTTAAATGGTTGGCTTCTATACTGCCATGAAGTTTTTAAAAAACTCTTCATGTGAATGAAAAATTTAACTACAAAAAAGTTGCATTGTTATGCACTATGTCTGACCAATGTCTTTCAAAGTTTGATCCTCTTAGGAAATATAATAGAATAAAAATATCGCCCCATGAATAAATATAATTTTCAAACTTAAATTTCTTATTAGCGATTCTATGTTAAGATTCTAAAGAGAATGCTTTTCAAATTTGGCACTTTTTTCTTTCCTCTTTTTAGGAATCGTCCAGGAAAGTGGACTGATTGAGAATTGCTTGAGAAATAAAGCAATGTAGAGACAAACGTTCCCCCCATAAGTTTTAATGGGACATGTGGCAAGTTGTCATTGTCAACTCGCGGGTCTAAAATCTTGAAGAGATATTTGTCCTATTGTAAAAGCAGCAAGATATTTAGCTACGATTTATTATCATCGTATGTAGAATGAAAATTGTAAATTGTTCGCAATTACCTGAACAATTTTTGTCATTTCTTGTATGTCAATAACACCATTTCCATCGACGTCATACATTCTGAATGCCCATTTTAATTTTTCTTCGGGAGTTCCACTTGATGTTACATCTATTGCGAGTAAAAATTCCTGAAAGTGTATACGAAAGAGAAATAAATTTGAGGCGGATTTTTTTTTTTTTTTTTTGAAAATGTACAAATGTAGTCAGACCCTTCACAATTTATAATCCTTCTAATGGCTTTAACTAATTGCATGTATGCGACTTGTTGTTCTAACGAATGGTTGATTAAGTTCGGAATTCGAATGTGTCACGATAATAACCTAGCAAATGATGTTTAATAGTTATAAGCAACATTGAAATTGTTACATGTTTTTCGAACATGTCGTTAAGGAAAGCCTAACAATCAAAGTAAGATCTTGATCATTAATGCGAACAGCAAAATCGATTTAGTCATGGTATCTGTTTTGTTCTTTCTGTCTTTGCTTCGGCTTACTGAAATCCTATCCCAGTAACGGCCTTTAAATATTAGAACTTTCAGTGTAAATTTCTCTTCAACGTAATCTCGGGTAACGTGATCGTCCATAACTGTCAAAAAACCATTTACAAATAAAGCGGAGTAATTTAATCTTCCCACGAAGTGTTATCAATTTGTATATGTTGCGTATATGTGAGCACATTGAGCGATAAAGCATTCATCCATCTCCACTAGTTCCACTCCATCTAGCTAAGAGACCGTCTTCGATTTTGTCTTTGTTTAAAAAGCTTGCATAAAAACTCTAAGATTTCCTCATCAGGTGCAAACGGTTCAAAACATAATTATTTTGTTATTTATATCATATCTACTGTCCATTTTTGTTTTACAAAAACGTATTAAACGTCAGATTATAGTGCGGAAGGTATTGTAAGTCAAAAAGAAACAGAAAGATATTCAAATAATAGATATTTAAAATTTGATTCCTTTGGATCGACTCTTCAATATAAACTCTTCAGATCCTGCAATTCAATATTCCTCCAAAAAGTAAAACATAACTGCGAAGATTAATGCGGAAGCCACATATCTAGTGCAATGCCCAATATTGCCCCACAGTTTAAAAGTTTGCAGTTCCCATTTCCATAGAAATGACCTTCTTATGGACGCGTCGCCTATAGTAATAAAACAATGTTTCGATTTATTTCATGTAGACAACATGAGCAAAACATAAGCAGCAAACCTTATATGTTAATGTTTGCATATATAGTGATATATACATGTATATATATATATATATTTATCGTATATATATATATATATATATATGTATATATATATTGAATGTAATATTCGATTGACTTTTGCTGTCTGTCGTTATGGGATGTCGCATCTAGAATGCTAAATTTAGTATAGAAGCATATTAAGAGGAGAAAACACAACTTCATAGTTCAATTTTTATTGGAGTTAACGATTTTCTTTTCTCCCAACTTGTAAATTAATTGCATTGAGAACCTAGCGCACCAAACATCCCTTGTTGTGGTGGGCATAGAAAAAAATCTAACGCGGATGTATGTGTATGCATTATATATATACTTATATATAATGCATATATATATATATATTTATATATATATATATATACATATATAAAAGCGTTTATTAATATAATCATAAAATCTGATGTAATTCTCACCTTAAAGTCTATGTATCCGTTTTTATCCATGTCGAATGTTCGAAAGACATGATCACAAAACTCTTCCGCATTTCCAGACGGGAAAAACATTTTATACATATCAACAAATTTTGCCGGAGTTAATCGCCCATTTGGACAATCTTGCTATAATAAAATTCAACCTGTTAGTACGTAGTAGTATAGTATATGAAATAGTTACCTTAAATCCTTTATACCACTCTTTTATGGTGGCTTCATCGTAGCGAGTGTGAGATTTCAAAAATTCCATATCTTCTTTTGTAAGACGATCTTTACTATTTAGGCAGCCCATGGCAATGTCTAACTACGGCAAACGTCCGATACGTTCTTAATTCATTCGAGAGAAAAACTTTACAAGTTTTTTTTATTTTTTTTTTTATTTATTTATTTATTTCTTTTAAATTATTATTATTATTTTTTAAACTTTTACAATATTATTATTATGATCCAAATGCACGAGAGATTTTCTCAATAATAAATACTTTTAATAATAGAAATTATTATTAGAGTAGATTGCAATCAATGAATGCACCAAATTAAAGAACTTCTAATCGAATTAAAGGACATACTACATATATTAATATGTATAAGTAGTCATGCGCACTGCAAATACTCCAAGCTTATGAAAAAGGATTGGTTATTTCATCTATAGTTGTTGCTGCTTTTTCTTCCTTCAATTAAGGGTTACCATTAAAATACAATAATGCATATGCACTTATATATACATATATACATATATATATATATATATATATATATATATATATATAAATTATATATGTGTATTAGCGCTGGCATATATTATATTTGAGAAAACTTATCGAGCATGAATTTATTATTATTATTATTATTATTATTACTATTATTATTATTTTTTTACTAACTAACTAAAAATAGTTAATCTCCTAAACTATAAATAAATTTTAATTGTTGAATTATTTCATATTCTCTTAGTAAATAGATAAATAAATGAAATAAAAAGCACGTTTGGTTTAGTGAGGCATATATCTGAGAAGCTTTAACATACTTCTATGTCTATTGAAAGCGTTTGCAGTTGCTTCTCTAAAAGGTTCTTAAACTTTCAACGAGTTGTGAATGCAGTTAACATAATAAGGACATGCCTAACCTATGAAACTGAAACTAGTTAACCCACTTTTTCGTCAGTAGCTGTGCTTTCGACCAGAAGTTCTCAACTAATTCATTTCACAATAGACAGTTACACGACGACGACGATGACGACGATAACGCCGCCATTCTCATAAGAATGCTACGAAATATTGAAGAAATTAAAACCTTTGTAAAGGTTTCGTGTTAATGTTTTTCGAAATTGCATTTTTTGTTTTTTTCAAAGTTTCGTTTGTTTTCAATGCTTTTTTATTTGCTTATTTTTTGTTTATATATATTTATGACATTATTTTATTAAAACTTAGAAATTTTATCATTTATATTTGAAACACTTTTCTTTTTTTTTTTGAACACTTTCCAAAAATATTCCAAGCAATTGTTAATAATTTTTAAATACTATTTTTATGAAAGAGAATCGAGATTTCGTCATTTACTTCTTGAAAGGTTGAAAGGACTTCCTCTCACTTATGAGACGAATGTGTCGCCTAAGATTACAGTTGCTGCAGCATTTTCATATTAAAAAGATTAAGACAGTCTGTGTTGCAATAAAAATATATATTGTATGTATATACAAAAGTTTTAATTATGTGACTATACAGTTAGTCAGATATTTATTCACGGAACTTTTATGTCTAAGTTCTCTCTTGCATACATAGAAAAACGATTAAATAGAATGAAATTTAAAGGTGTCAGAAGTGGGTAGATGGGTAGATAGGTAGGTAGGTAGGTAAGTAGTTAGGTAGTTAGGTAGGTAGGTAGGTAGGTAGGTAGATAGATTTTCAAAGGTATCCCAAGTACATTACATTCATTATGCAGAGCGCTAGGAGCGCGTCTTTATAATAATAAGTCCCATTATTCTCGCATCATCAAATCTCAATAGCTGCTGTTGTATGCTGCCTAAGTAGTTTGCTTTATGCTACTCGTAGTTACCCCAGCACAAATTGTGGTGCTTATAAATACTAGGCCGTTTTATTGATTTTCAAACATTGTGCATGTGAACGCTACATGATGATACGAGATAGACGCATGAAACTTTTTGACGTTTTGTATTTTTCCACGTAAAGATTTAATTATATTTCATAAAAAATAACATTCTCCGTAGTATTGAAATTTACTTTTTATTTAATAAAACTATGTTTTCATTTCATTAATCTGTGTTTCGATAATGTATAATTGGCTAAGACAGTGTGTCAAAATCGCGAGGAATTTCTTCATTTAAGGTTACACACGCATAAATGCGTGGGCATAAGAGTAGTCCTTATGAAGTAGTCCTTAACTATCATATGAAAATTTCATGCGTATGAAACTTACGATGCGTATGGCGTACGCAATAAGCTGAAATGAGTAGTGGGTAGACGCTTTTATGATTGTTTACCAACGTATAACCTTTTATTGATACTATCCTTTTAAATGAACAAATATTTACGGAAATCAGCAAAATGCGAACCCATCAAATAACATTGTTTTTTTTTTCTTTTCTCGAACTTTCCCTTTGTGGCGAAAAATTACTTTACAGATATGTATGTGTTGTTCTCTTATTTGTCCAAAAAGAAGCTCTGCATTATTTCATGTCCAAAACACGTGCAGTATATTGCACGAGATTAAACAAGAGCATACTGTTCTAATCTTTGTATCCGGACGTATCGTTGGACATGTTTACTTCATTTCGATGTGTGAATTTCCCATTACTTTCCATCGAACTTGTATATTAAGGCAATCAAGTCAAAATTTATACATTTTGTATTATATTTCAACCAAATAAGAGGCGGACGGATGGCCACAATTGCTCAAGAAATTACACCTTGTCCTCTACCTACCTTGTACGTAGCAATTAATAACGAAAAGCGACAAAGGACCGTCAGGACTAATTAACTTATCATGAAAAATTAGTCTGAACCTCTTCGCCTTGTTTCTGCATATGAAAATCTTGACTTCGACGGCTGATATAAAAATGACAAGCAAGATGCTCAGTACAATTATGTTTATATTAAAGCAACGGACCACATGTTGTCATCAATACGCTAATTTCACTTTTTGCGATAGATGGATATATTGCCAGCAAGGATACTTACTATTAGTATTATTATTATTAGTTATTTAGCGATACTCCCTGTTACAGTATATTAGTTTATAGACAGAAATCGTATATTAGTTTATAGACAGAAATTTTGGGCTTTCGATTTTTCTTTTGGATTCACTTAACATATCTGTCACGAACATGAAACGAAAACAATTAGGTTTATAATTATTTCACATCATTTTGGGTAGGTACCAAAACGTTGAAATAAGTTTTCGCGAATAACTTACAAAACAATTGGTCCTGAGCAGAAATAATCTCAGCTAATTCGTCAAGGTTAGTTTTAGAAGAGAGAAAAGGGGATAATTCAAAATTAAATTCAATTTCCTTTTGTTAATATATTTAGAACAAAAATCGCATTAAATTATCACTGTAATATCCAATTAGAACTGACAATTTCTCTATATTGCTCACACAATCACATATAGCGCATAACGCGACTATATTCTTTGCAGGAGTTTATAACAAGTCCTAAACGAGATTCATGGTTCATATTTTATATTAACAATGCAATAGAGCATAGCCCTACACGTTGCCCCACCAAGTTAATGGGGGACGCACATTGTATGAAAATTTCTTTACAACTTTGCGAAAAGAACACAGACCTCGAACATTTTACTCAATCTTAACTAAGACGAAATGAATCTTATTAAGGTTTTGGCTAACGTTTTAGGATGAATTTCTCGCGATCTGTATAATTGATTTGTTATGTTTAAAGAACTCTTCGAATAAAGAACAAAGAGAAAGATGGACAGACATAGTTGAAATAATTGAAAATTGAATTCTCAGTAAATTAATTGCACTTGATTGAATTTAAAACAGTCATAACAGATATAATCATAAGATGTTTTTTTTTTTTGGCAGAACGCAAAACTTGGGAATATTTTTACTGCCTAACGTGAACACGTACCTTATAAACACGTTTATCGGCATTGAAAACTTTTGAGAATTTCTTTTCAACAAAATTGCGATAGGTATATCGCAATAATAAGTTTTTAACTTTTCTGTTTATGGGTTATTAAAATGAAGAGAAAATAATAAACGGCTGTCGATATAACCAAAAGTAATAATTAACAAACAAACAATTTTCGAAAACATTCCTAAGTCATATCAAAATGCATATAGCACACACTTATATGATTATTTTTAGGAAAATCCATTGCAAGTTTAGACACACCCGTTATGATATGATGAATGATATTAAATTTTTTCATTGCTGTTGTTTGCAAATCGAATTATTTCCAAAGGTTTGTTAATACAAAATGTGCTGCTAACGATTTTTCTTTAGGTCACACATAAATTATAGATTTCTGGATTATATTAATAGCAATACGAATAATTTTTAGGTCGCTCGCTTTCGAATTGTATGCGTTTGTCACATGTTTTAATGTCGTTATTTACTTTGTGCATTGATGTCGATTATAATAGTTTTGGGGTTTTTTTACGACCTAATTATCAAGGAGAGCTCCAGCGAAGTAAAAAAAAATTGAAAAAACTGAAAAAAAAAACGAAAACGAAATGTCACCGTTGCTCACTGGAAGATTTGCGGACACGTTATGCATCCTCACGGTAACGAAACATTTAAAAATTATTTTTGCCTTAATGCCTAATTGGCCAAATAAGTATGTACCACGTAAACGCTCATACAATACTTATAAGAGCTTGCACGTTTTCCTTTTTCATAACGAAATTGTATACTTATATATATATGTATATATATATATAAATATAAATATAAATGTACATATCTGCATATATCTATAAACAAGTTAAAGCACTTACCAGTCGCTATTTGTAAACATTAGCATAATGTCGACTTCAGCGTCAACATTAATGCGCACACAAACACAAACTTACAAAATACACTGTATACACCACGATGTTATATATCTTTGTCGCAAATTATGTAATAATATATGAACGCTTTACACGAATATATATGTAGAACATAATAACTATACTGCGATTTTAGATTTTAACTTTAGCTTTAAACAATCAAAGCAGGCACACTGCCTACACTAGCAAATAGTATCTTTTACAATATAAACATTTGCTCTGCAGATAAACGACTTAACACAGGACAACAACGAGCACATTTTTTGCCGTGTAACTCAATCAAAATTGTCATAAAGCGTTGCAAAAACCCGTATAGATTCGCAAAACTGACCATACTAAGCGTTGCAAAATTTCGTATACGTTGACCAAACTTGCCATCCATACTAGTATCGCATAAACTTTTATAAAATTTATTTTTTTACTCTGCTGAATATCTTTTTCAAATTTGCAATTAATTTTTTCATGTTTTCTCACAAGCACAACTATTTTTCTAATTGTTTTTGCTGAAAGGTGTTAAGGTATAAAAAAAGTAAAGTGCAAATGGTATCCATATTTTGCTTACATTTTATAAAAATTTTGTATTATTTTTCACGAGAAATTTCGTTTAATTTTTTCACGAGAAATTTTTTTGTACAATATCTGATTTAAAAAAGAAAAATAAAAAAAAAAATAGCAAATAGGAAATGAAAAAACTAAATGTCTTCTTCTTCTTTTGCAAGTCAGCAAATCAACAATAGAAGATTGCCTGTATTGTGTAAAAAGTTTCAGTTTTTATATATTAAAATAGTAATAAAACGTTATATACTTGACGAAAATTGACGGAATATAAAATTGCTTCAAAGCTTTTGCTTTTTAATACAGCTCAATTGAAAATTTGAAAAGTTGTTTCGATATGTATCTATATATTGAATGTCCGTCATACAACTTATTTCTCCAGATGACTAGGATAAACGATTTTAGATCATTATATCTATAGTTGTAGTTTATCAAACAAAACGTATAAACGAAAATTTATTTCGAGCAAAACAAACAAATGTAACATAATCTTAAAAAATACATGCATGGAGCTTAGCAAGAAATTCTAGATAGCCAAAATATATCCCATATGTATTTGTAGTAAGCTTGCCTTGTTTTGGTTACGTTCAACCGGAATTAAAATTTATAAAGACATAAAAATGATTGACAGTGCGACACTGAAGATCCTTGCAGGTCTAATCACATGGGCGTTACCTATTTTCTAGTACGATGGAATGAACTCATTGCTTTCATTTATTTATTTCTTGTGAACAAACTATATTCAATATTAACACATTTTGTATAATCTTCAGGCGCAAATATATAAAATATAACTAGCGATATAAAGAGGCGAGTAATTTTACGTTCATATAATACGCATAAGCTAAATAAGCATATTATTAATTATTATATAATTAATATTTGTTCGCATTTTTATATATTGTTTTCCATTTTTGTATATTATTGTACAATTAATTATTAGCCTCTGCGTTTGTTTCCTGAAAAATACGAAAAGCAAAACTTGCCTTTCAAATCATTTAATTCAATTAAATCGATTGTATTTCAAGATATTACTTACCTCTCTGTATAGTCTTAGGAAACTGATAACTACTTTCTACAATTTCATCTTAATATCCATTCTTTCCCACGTCTATGTGCAAGAAATCGCTCGACAGCGAACATAATTATAAATAAATGATACAACATATGTCCACAGCTAATAAAAGAAAATAAATGATTTTCAAATCGTTTTAATAAAGGTAAACAATGATTTTTTCTGTTTTACTAGTCGGCGTCGCCAAATGACGACGCATTATTAGGCTGGAGATTAACAAAAATTCTATGGAATTGTAAGTAACAAAGTAAATGTAATTTTAATTAAAAGTAAATAATGTTTTTATGAAAAAAGAAAGCGGATTAGCAATAAAAGTACAAGGAAAATCTGATGTATGCGAATTGTATTAAGGCTTTATAAGCAAACGGTTAAATCGTTAGCAACAAAGGAGAAGAAGTGCGCACTTTGTGGAGTGAGTTGCTACTTTTATTTTATAAATTTATATCATAAGCAATATAGAATACAGTAAAAGCTTCTTATTTGCGTTTCCTTCATTCGCGTTTTCACTATTCGTGGATTAAAAAATGTGACCCGATTTCTATATTCGCGGCTATAAATTTCCGCGATTGGTGCTTTTGAGAATGTACACAAACAGAATGAAAGCAACCTTATTACTCAATTAATAAAGTATATTTTTATATATTTGATTTTTTTTTTATTTTTCCACGGAACGTATCCCCTATAATCCCATATAAATTACCATTCCGTATTCACGGTTTCTGTATTCGCGGTACATATACTCCTACGTAGCGTCGGTATTGTTCTCCTGTCCATTAGTCTGTGTTTGTCGGTTCGTTAAGTCACCGTCCGTGGTTACATCCACACACACACCAACGCACTCATCCTTGCGAAACTTCCTATTCTTTTACTTCATAAATGTCATAATGAATATCTTTTCTTTTTTGTTATTATTAATTTTTCTGGTTTAATTTATTTACATTTTCTATATTTACTTTTTTCTGTTTTAAAATTTTCGTTTAATTTTGTTTAACTAATTCCTCTTCTCAACACATTTCTTACTTGGTGTGATGTTTTTCTTAATTCTCTTCCTTGCATGGCGCTTTCTTTGCTGAATTCATTGCTTCACTTGTATTCCTTTCGAGGCGCAACAAAAAAGAAATGCATTTGAGACTGTTCACTTCTTTTTTTCTTTGATTCGTTCTTTTTAAAATTACCATTAAAGACGATTTCTTGATTTTCATATCTTTTTATCGATAATCGATAATTTTATTCTTTTTGTGTATAAATTTAACAGAAAATTAACAGGAATTCAAAAACATTTAAAAGCCTCTGTAAGGTATTCATGCGAATCAAATTTTGTAGTTTTTCTTATGTATGTATGTAAAATTTCCATTTTGTAAATTACACGGCCGGTCCTTAAAAGAAATCTCCGTAGTTATGCCTTTGACTTACTTTTAGAGACCTTCGACTCAATACTCTACTATCTTGCCTACGACCTTTTGTTTCAGTAATACAAAAACTTTTGTTTTATACCCACCACTAAAAGATGGCGTAATATTCATTTTGTCACGATGTTTACCACATCTAGGGCGTAGCTTTTGAGGCCTAAAAACTTTAAATAGAAAATGTTCCAAATTAAGCGAAGAAGACGTTTCCAGCTACACATAAAGTGAGAATGCTTATGTTTTCAAGAGCAAAAAAACGGAATCTTTGGTCCTTACACATAAACATAGAACAGCTTAGAACGTTGCCATCTTTGCCGTATACTTTTAAAAAATCATACACGTCCCCATTAGTAGAGGTTCGAAACCCAATTTCTTTTTAAAATGGTCAAAGTTGGTCACAAAAGATTCGACCAGAGTTAAATGTAATTTTTTTTATGTTAAATTGTTTTTCCTTATTTCATTTATAAACATTAGTAAAAGTTAACAGCCCTAGATGCTAGTGCTTTAGTCTTAGAATTTTTGTCTCTGTCTGAATATCTTTTTTCACACATTTACACACATGTTTCGATCGAATAGAAGATTTCTATAGTCGCTGACAATAGTATATAAAAAAAAGAAGTCATATTGACAAGGGCTTGTATATCCGCCACCATAAAACTCATGATCTCATACCGTCCTCAAAATCTGCTGATTCTTACTATTAATAAAAGTGTCTAAGTTTTACAGTAGTTAGACCTGTAGAGAGCCTTAAAATAGCTTTATTAATATATATAAAAATATATATAAAAGAAATTGTTATTCTTTTTAATGGTTTCCTGATTGTTTCCGATTCTTCTTCCTTGACTTGGTCGCTTTTGCTCTTCCATCATCTCCTCTAGATGTATATATATATAGTGTTTTGGAAAATACGCGAATTAAACTTATTTAATTTTACAAGTTATCCGCCTGAGTGGCAAGAATATCGACTTTTAACTCAATAGTTGCTCATTCCTGCATGACGGAATCATTCAAAAATTAATTGAATTAGGTCATCCAGCCACAAATGGTCTGACAGGATGATATGTTCAAAGTCTGGAAAAGAAATTCAAATCGATAGAAGAGGTCAAATTATCACTGAGAAAGAATATAAAGGAGATATTTTTAGATAGAATAGCTTGCTCGTAAAACTATAGCTATCGGTTATCTATGTCCAAAATTTAGTGTTCGAGAAAGGGTGCAAGTTCGTGGGCACGAGAAAGTTAAGGCCATTGTGTAAACTGATACTGCAATAAGGCGCCTAGGTCTTGCAGATTATACATTTCAATTAGGCAGTGGATATATATTCGAATGGTACATGAATCAGTTAAATAGCTCAAATTTCCAATTCCATCTACTCCAATATCATCAACATCAAAACAAACTCAAGCAAACGCTGTGAGACAAGAAGTAATGCCCAACATTAAGAAAATCCATACGAATTCATCGTCTGCCAACATATTCCAACGATTGTTGTCTTCTTTAGGCGTGCGACACTGCAGTATCCCATGTGATATACAATAGGTCTTTAGTTGTTTATGCCCTGATTAAATTAAATAGTTGCTGACAACCGTAGTCGTATAGTCGGCTTGTAGTAGATGCAGTTCTATGATATATATATATATATGTGATACATGCATAAATATGATGAATTGAAGTTTGTGGGAATATCTTGCTCTTTATGTTCTCTTTGTATCGTCTCTTACCGTTGGCCCGAGCGGTTTCAGATGGATACGCCTTTCGTCGTACCGATCGATTCGTAATCGTTTTCTGAATCATCTAAGTTTGTCCATCTCACCACCTGCGTGTCCGTCTCTCCATGAAATTTTGTGTGTTGTGTTGCGTTGTCGCAAATTTTTAAGACGTATTATGGAATTTAGTACACTGATATGTTTTCACTCAAAGACGAAATCTATTGAAAGTGGAGTGCATTGGATCCTTTGAAGGCTCGTTTTGAGAAAGTTGTACTATGGAGACAATTTGCAATGTTTATAATTTTGCCCAAAAAACTCGCGGAATAATAGCATTTCGGTATGTCGAGTTGTTGTCATTGGATCGAATAAACCAATTGGTTGAACTGCCATCCAAATAACTTTCTCTACGAAAAAAAAGTTTTTATTTGATAACAAGTAAGAAAATTGTAATCGGTTGTAGCCGAACCTGGTACATCTGAAGCCCGTCCTTCAACGTTCAACGGTGGGTATAATAAGGTTAGTATTTTATGACGAAAATTGGTCCATGATAGTAATGAGATCAAAAGTGAACTCTACTAAGCTGTACTGCCTTATATCAAGGAATGAATACTAGGTAAAATACAAAATAGGTAAAGACAAATAAGATGTTTGACAAGAGAAATAATTTTGCTAGATTTGGACCATGTCAGCGCACTCTTTGGGCCCCGACCTATGTAACCTTAACTAAAGGTATCCCTTGAAACACTGACATAATGAAAAACAAGTGAAACATTGTATTAGAGAAAGTGGTGTACCGTATTCAAAAGTTGCCCTTGCCTGACTATCATGACTTTACCTGTTTTCTTTCTGTCTTTTTTTGAGCAGCGACGCTGTAGACGCCGAGACAAAGTGCAAAACAACCTGCATGTGGGGAACTTGTGATATTCACGTATTTGCTTAATGGGTTATTGCACTTGCGTTCTTTTTTTGGATTACGCAATGTCTACGTAGTAGAGCCGCACGCCTTGAAAGTTTATACATTTCTTATGCAGATCTTTAAAATGACTTACAGCACCTTGCAGTTGTTGTAGCGAAGGAAGAGTTGATTCGATAAACAAATGGCAAAAGTTTTGCCGTTTTAGCTAAGGAGTGATAAACAAGAAGAAGATTAGCAATTCAAAATCAAAGCCAACCTGCTATATTTTACAACAAATATCGCACTTACGTTGTTATTGTTCTTGGTCATTACGTATGCTTATCGCAAATCATTAGTAAGAAATTTCTCCGAAGGGATTGAGTATCCTATACGATAAATTTAAAGTAACAGTTTTCACACAGGAAGAGACTTCATCTTGCTGAGTTTACGTTTGTAGGAATGTTGCCTTGCGCAGGTGGGAAGTGAATCAATATAGCTTTTCCAATTCCAGTGTGCATTGTGTGCGGCCGCTAAATACCATCTTTGACATTTGTAATGAAGTTTTGGTGCCAAGTGAGGTCAGTTCGTTGTTACTTTCATACTAAAGACAATCGCTTTATATATAATATATATATATATATATATATATATTATAATATATTAATATACATTAATATATATATATATATATATATATATATATATATATTTGTGTCTAATTATTATAATATGTAAATATAATATAAATATTGGTGACCTTGCACCAAATTCGCAAACATGTAAGGGGCTAGAGTGTTAGTGTTTGCGGCGGCCGGAATGCAAACGACAAAAGTTTTACTTGTTTCAAACTGGAGATTGTTGAATGTATTTGGATTAGCGAAAGTGAATTTATTTTTGTAGTTTAGCACCGATAAGCGCCTGACAATTGTCCTGACCTGTAGCGCGTTGCTATTTCTAATTAAAACGTATGGTATGTTGAACACTATCCTCAGTGACTTTGTTAAAGAATAGAGCGATTTGCTTCACATACTCGGCTTTTCTTGAGAGTGCCTTTGTTGCGTGTTTGTACGCATATGTGGACTGAAGATTAGTTTCAGTGACTTCCTTTGCGGTGCGTTATATATATTTAAACTGGGTGTCTCTTCTGGCTAGATTCTTGTGTAGGAGTTTGTTTGTGAACGCCTATGTCAAGCTGAAGAATGCATGCAAAAGTGGACAGTTGTTAAAGAAACCGTTTTACTATTTCAGGTCTGCGTTCAAAGAGAGGTGGGTGAGTACGGCGTTAAATAGGACGATTTATTAAACAATCTATTAGTTGTTGATGAGGCTTGGGTTCCTTACGAAGCGTAACATATCCGAAGTTCGGTTTTCGTATGACAGCTTCGTGATTGGCCAAAAGTCGAAGCGTTCAAATGCCAATCAATGATATTCAATAAATGCAGTTTTTTTTTGCTTTTCACTAATCCGCTGCACACACGCTCGTCATTTAATCTGTGCTAGCAATACAATCCTTTCTAATAGGGAATATTTTAAGCAGCGTTCCGTTATAATCGCTTGATTTTGTCTTGATTTTCGTATCAAGGCCAATTGCCTGTGACTGAGTTATTCTGTTTTCGAAATTCGAGAAAAGTTCCGGGTCAACGTTTATTGAGAACTATTTTTATTTTGTTTTTCTCGAATATTTTCTTTAGATTGGCGAAATAATTGTTACATGCTTCCGCCTTACTAAAGCAACTTAGTGTAAACTCATCGTTATCCAAAAATAGCTCAAAGTATCCGTTAAGCTGCTTATTTAAGAAAATCGCTAAAGATATATTTTGTGTGTGTTAATGGGTTTGCAGCGTAACAACGTTATACGTTATTGATAGCGATTAGTTAAGCGATTTTGCCTTGCAATAGCGGTAGTTTAATTTTTTTTTTCTAATTTTATCGTTCCGGTGCTAAGTACTCTTTTTTGCTTTTGTTCGTGAGTGAGTGAGTGCAAGGTTTTCAAGATGTGTTAAGTTGAGTAAGAGTTTTCAGTTTATATTTTATATTTATTTTATTATTAAATGAATGAATTTCCAGCTAAAATTTTTTATATATACATACATATTTACTTATAATTAACTATTTTGCACTAAAACAACTTGTTGGTGGTCATATTTTCTAGAGCACTCTAGAGTATTTCATATTCATGTACGCCTTTGTGTGATAATTGAAAGGTCGGATTGAGGCGGCCAAGGTTTGAACTAGATGCTTATCTCTTTTGCCCGATGATTGATGAGAATCCAAGTATCTTCCACTACAATATCATTAAATATTTTAATGCGTTATAAAATTAATTGTGTTATAATTAGCCTATGGTCTGTGGTACTATGCTTGCTACAATGATCTTGAGACTTGAGAATTTAGAAGAACATTCCCTATGTACTTTATGAGCTCACATTGTGGTTTCAGTTGATCATTACAAACAAGCTTTAAACGCACCTGGAATAACTAGTTCGTAAAACTCTTTCTGCCCATGTTTGCGCTCTTGGAATATCTCTTGGCACTCCAACTTGTTTCTTATCCAAATAATCGATTACATCATCATAGTAATTGGTTCGATAGTTGTACATGTATTTGTATTGAAGGAATTTTGGTCTGTAAAGGTGAATTAAAAAAAAAACAAAACAAAACAAAAACAAAAAACGTAAAGCATAAAGAAAACGTTTGCATTTTATTAGCACTTAATAAAGAATAATTACCTGACCCAATGCTTATATAATTGAACTGGTTTTCTATAGCCATCATCTTCTGGAGGTGGTGGAGGTAAGGCCGCCTCAGTTTCTCCCTCAGTTTTAGCTTCTGCAGCTGTTTCACCCTCTGCTGCTTTTGTTTCACCTGCTGCTGCTGGGGCACTGACTTCTTGTTTTGCTGGCTCTGGTTCTGTAGCGGTAGTTTCGGTATCATCAAATCCCCATGGATCTTCTTCATCAGCCATATCTAAATATAGATTTATGCAAACTTGTGTTATCGTAATACGCAATCATTTCCTCAGGGCTATATACTTGCTTCGCTTCCTTCAACTACTATGTACGCACACAGAGGGAGAGAGAGAGAGAGAGAGAGAGAGAGCAAGAGAGCTTTCTTTAGAATCTGCACTCGAAACCTAATCAATCTCTAAACAGTAAATCCCCAGATAGAATCGGATCGATAGATATAAAAAGACTAATTATGAAAAGAATGCATCTTCTGGCGGCGTGACACTCTTTAAGAGATTTCAACCGCATCTACACGTATTTATGCTCAGCGTTTCGTCGCAACGTTTTGAGAACTATTAACTGTGTGTGCATTTGAGTGTGCAAAAATGCGTACAGAATACGATAACCTAAATTTGTTGAATTCTTGTATTAACATTACTTGACCTATGTTATGTCAAGGATTTTGATTACTTAAGAGGCAAAAGTTTTCCCCTTTTTTCACGTTGCTGACGCAGTCTACATTATATCGAAATGAAAAGCTCCACATCAATATTCGTTTTCATGTCGTGATATTTTGCAATTTTCGTCCAACTAGAACATGTAAGCACGTAGACCGCAGTTGGACTCTATCAAAATATTTCCCAACATATTCCTTATGCATTTATATAAAATATTTATGTATGCTGTGTATACGCAGTTCAAGGTTCTCATTTGATCATCTGATTATCTGATATGACATCTATAGTCCATAAAGAGGACGTTATTCGATTTCCTCGTTTGCATTATAATTTTTCATATTTATGATATAATGTAGTTCTCAAATGGCTTACAAACCTTACGAATTAAATTAAATTTCTTTGCACTGCAATATACGTCCCAACTGAAGAGTGGTATAAAAAAGACTGACACGAAATGTGAGGAGAGTGTCTTTGAAATGATTCTTTCTTATTGATTGTTGCTATTATTATCAAATTTCTTAACAAATGCAAATCGCGTATTACATTAACACCTATGCGGAAACTTTACTTTCACATAACGATGCTTTACTTACACGTTACATGAGTTTTAATATTAATGGATATTCACCTTTATATATATTCTGTGTTCCTTGACTAGCACCCAGATGCAACTGCTTTTTTAAGGGAGTCACGATGATTAAAAAAAAAAAAAAAATTAAAAAAGTTCGAGACACATGAAGTCCGAAATGCCGGTCTGTCGCCATTTATCTTTTTTCCCCATCAGGTTTACTCACCAGCTTGTAATATGTTGAAGTAAATATCAATACCAGCATAAAGGGTAAGATTCTGATTCGATATAATCATGTTATCCGCCTACAAACCGATAGATGTAACAGACGCTTACCTCAACTGAAAGCTAAAAAAGTATTTTATTGAAACTATTATCTATTGCTGCCTGCATATTTGCTCATCCTTTTGACAGAATATTAACGATGCACCGAAAGGATGAGAGTCGTTAAATGGTTTGAACAAACAATAAGTAAGCGTTTGAAACGAATGTTAAGCAAAAAGAGTTATGTCAGGCAAAGACAAGGGCGGCGATAACGTCTTGCTCACGACGATTGCAAATGATTGCATAAGTTGTGTTTGTGGCTTCTTAGCGATGATTTCGTTTGGTAGGAGCAACCCGCAATACGGTACCCTTGTCTGATGCTTTGCACACAAATGAGGCGGCATGAATATTTAGCTGTAGCATCGATGTTAATGTTACGCTTAAAATGCAGCACAGTTATTGGACATTCTGGACATCGGATTGCATACGCTGTTCATTAACACAGGCACAATTCCGAAGCCCGATGCTTCGAATTAAGCGAAAGCAATCATACCTTTCGCAAATGGTGGGCTTTCGGCATCGATATTATTTACACTTCGGCGAGATAGCTTATATTCTTCATCCGTTTCAATGTGTCCAATCGTTCGACGTATGTCTCCTTTGTGTACGACACGGTAATTGTCAGAAAAGAGCGAGGAAAAAGAAAGAGAGATAAACGGTGCCTGCAGCTTGTGCCCAATCGATAGGTGTTACGTCCTTAATTCACTTATAGCTAGGACTAAGTCCGTCCTTCCGCATTGAGATTTGAATCTCGCGAACATCGACTTGGTGGTTGCGACTTTCATTTACTCAGCTAACTAATTTTAGTTTGATTGAAAGAGGAAATTAGGCCAAAAGCATGGTCCCAATGGGTGAAGCAAAAGGTGTTCTTTCATCAAGTCAATTCACTGTGTTGCGATGTCGATGGTTGCGATGATGGCAAAGTTGCGTCAACTGAAGCTCGAATTGCGAACCCATCCATTACGAGCCCAGACGCTACTGTCAGCGGCAATTATCTCTTTATAAATCTCAAATGATGAGATCATTCCGGAAAGTGAAGCGTATTTTTAATGATCATGACAAGCTGTTCGAAAGGCATCGAAGTCATAGAGAAGCCTTGCATTTATTGTATTATTCTTAAAGGGTGCCGTGTTGACGAATAAAGACAAATTTTGCAAAAAGAGGGAAAAATTTTTTTCTTTCTTCGCTCCGGAACTTATTCAGCGATCTATTAAGCTATTATTGTCATCATAATAGTCTGATCGTCCTATAGCATTTACTCTTCACTTTAATTTATTTCAATAAACATATTCCTTCTCAATCCTAATGTCGACTTTTTATATCATATAGAGAACATATTTTATCGCATTATTATAATATTCAAACATTATATCCGATAAAGTATCGTTGCTATCGTCGTGCTATGTGTTTCTGGTTCGCATTGTCCGAGTATTGGAAGAAAACTTTTTTGTTTCTATCGACGGAATCTTCCAACTCATTCTTACGTAAGTTCCGATTTTGTTCTTTCGAATTGCCAACGAATGGTTTTGTTAGGGAAGACATTGATTTGAAGTTTCTCGTGTGAAGCATAAATTTCCTGTACCCTGAACAAAAACAATTTTCAAGTTTTTTACGCGAGTTATAGTTATTATGATTGTGCGTTGGATGACTCCAATATTTTTTCATCCAAAGAGCAGCGCAGCGTTCCAGAATATGCAAATTTCAATATTCGACGACAATTTCAGCGAATATCCGATTCACACCTTGCCTGAACCGGATGGAAAACTTCGTTTAGTACTTAAGAAAGCTAATACCATAATTTACCCGGTTATAACACAATTTAAGGCTGACAAGAGCATTTCTTTAGCAAACGATTTCGAATGCACAGTAAGCATTCACAAAACCTATGGAAACCTTCGTGACAATAAACAAAAAAGGCGCAAATAGTGCGGAGACGTTGTAACTCAAGCAATGAAGGCGTTAGTGCTTCACTAAGTATTCATTGCGTATCTTATGAAGAACTGTCTGCCCCTATCCAATGGTTAAGCTACATGCTGGTTGGTCGTTCATTCAATTTTTGTTTTTAATACGACCAATCACTTCGGAGACGTCCCCTATTCATGTAACACACGGACGATCGGGGAGAGATGAAGAAAAAGTCGCGGAACTGAAAAGCCTCCTGTCTTCCCTTTGGCGAATAAGGTCTAACTTTCCGTGCATTTATCCGATTCTAAGGTGCTTACGACCATCAGAATTATTTAGCATTGTATATTTACGGACAACATATATTCAAATATATATATATATATCGTTGGATGTAGATTTTTGCAGAGAAAGCATCTTTTGAACACGTTTTAGGGAAAACTGGCGTGAGTGATGCCCTAAGGAGAATCTACACACCTCCGGTCAATAACTAACGGATAGGGATTTTTACTTAAGCGTTGCACAAGCAACTTTTTTGTTGTTGTATCAGAAATGATGTAAAAATTGAAAGAAAAACTTTGTGCGAACGAGATTTTTTGGGTTATTAATGCCAAAACAAACGGGTGCTTCCACAGGAATTTTGGTAAGTAACTTGTTGTTGTGGAAGTAATCTTGATATTCATTGAAGTGATTGGATGCGTAGATGGAACTTACATTTATTTTTATACAGTACTCCAGTCGATCCAGCTAACCAGGAATACAATGGGATTCATTGTAAGGCGAGGAACGTTGTTGAGAGTATTACTTGCATTAGTGCATATAAAGGTTAATATTATATTTATTTTTCAAGAGAAAAAGCTAAGACTATTCATGTTTCAATGTCGATGGTGTATTTTAATGAAAGAGCGGAAGAGCAAACAAGATTCAAGGAAGATGGGAAACTTTTGCAAATGTTTGTGCAGTCCTTCACATAGTTTGCATGAACTATAAAGTGCATGCCGGTCCGGAAATTCAGGATTTAGCTATTGCAGCTCCCAGACCGCTTTTTGACGACGGTGTCGATGCTTCACTAGAGATCTCCGATTTTAGGCGACTAAGTAAGAAATTAATAACCAGCACATCTTCTGTACTATCAAATTGAATTATATTGAAATAAAAGATATAAGAAATGAATCCGCTTTAAGATCTTTTGTGAAAATTTGCAAATCTGGGGTTGCTTTGCAATAAATCTGAAAACATTATACACTCTTTATAGGTAAATTATGTTTCAGTATATTGTGTATAATAAAAATAGAATGGTATATATTCAAAGTTCTTGTCCGCAATTCAAATTTCTCCCAAGAATCGAAAATATGAAATTAAATGAATTATATGAAATTATTCCGCTTTATTTCATTGCATCAAAAATTTTATATAATTCTGTTTGATTGTGTCATCACTCTTCATCTTCTCATTATGTTTTTGAAATAAATTTCGAATAACGAAAGCGATGCATAATGCAAACCTAAATGACTTTCAGATTACGCCGTCACAGTGAGAGCTAATTAACTAAAACATACATAATTAGTGCCCTGATAAAAATAAGCTTCCATTTCGTTTACGTAAGAGAACAAAAAGCTTAATTGATTTAGACTCGAACCAATGGGATGCCAATAAAAATGTGCATTTTATAGAACACGGCATGCACAGTATAGAACGAGGTATATCAGATGCGCACAGATTCATAATTCCATTTGAAGCGGAAAAGGAACTAACAACGACCCATAGGCCGACATATTGAAGAGGTTGGCGACTCTTCTTTGAATACCCTATCTCGCACATCTTCAACTTAAATTCCGAGTTGGTTCGAAGATGCATCGAATATTAATTAAAAGAAATAAAAAGTGATGTTACTTTTTGTATATTTTTGACAAATCGTTTTAAAACTTTCTACGTACAAGCACACATTTACATTACATATTCACATCTGACCCGCTTGAGGTCAACAATTTTCGTAAGTTTTCTTTTCGTTTTTCCCTTTCGTTGTTCTTCTTATTTATAGCCACCATTTCACTTTCAAGATCCAACAGACGGGCCTTCGTTGCCCGTGCCCGATTTGAAGCTTCCAACTCTTCCTTCGATTGTTCCTCACTAATTAGTGCTCTGGTTGTAATTCTTTTGCGTTCCACCGAATTGGCAATCGAGCTCTAAGAACGGAAAATCAAAGAAACAACAACAAATTTTAAAAATAAACAACAACTAATATTGAAAATTTTCGCTTAAGCATTTCGAGAGATCTACTGATATTATCTCATATTCGGTCGACATAGAGCAAATTGCTTACGCAGCATGTCACTTACTCTGGTTTGGTTTATGAATGATTTCCGTCGGTACACTAATAGCAGCATAATTAAAAAATTGAAAATTCTCAATTTTCTCCAAGCTTGCAATAGAGTCGACAGACTATGGATTGAAAATTCTAGTTTTCTCATTACTTCTGTTATGAATTTTTTTTTCACTTTCAAATACGAGAATCACATTCAATTCGAGAAAATGTTCGATGATATTTATATTCAAATACTTGAAATGGAAAATAGGTTAAGCTCTGCTGGACAACATCGATCCTCTATTTTCTTCCATTACTGTTTTCGCCGTAAAATATCAAAAATTCAACAATTTTACCATTTGAAGGCGTACTTTTCGTGAATTCTTTTATAGCGGGAATGCACTCTAGATTGATATTCAGGGAAATAATTTTCATCATAAAATACTAAACAGAAAAATTTCAATGCCATAAAAACGCTCCTTTCTCCTTTTACAACAATGCTTTCATAGGAAGTGATATCATTGAACCATCGAAACTTTCCGCGTACATTCGGGAACGCGAAGATATTACTTTTTATCGATTTTTGTAGAGAAAGAATAGAACAGTTTTTTACCAAAATAGGGAAGAGCAAGCGTTAAGGCTTACATAAAAGTACGATGTACACTAATGAATGTTCCACAATATTCTCTAAGTTTCAAGGGGTTTTATAAAATATGCAAGCAGAACTTTCAATAGAAGTACTCAAGATTCAGAACTGTTAACTTTGTTAGCCCAAGATGTCTCACCTTTTTCTCCGTGGTAGAAGATAATCTATCCTTAATTTTTAGAGATGGTCTCAACAATAATAAGTCGTCGTCGTCGTCGTCATCATTGCATCTCAAGCTAACGGTTTTTTTCTTCGGAAATATCGGGGCTATATCGTCATCTAAGAAATGTTTTTAATTGAACAAAGGATATTTACATATAAGATCCTTGTTGTCAACACACATAATTTTGATATTTATTTATGTATATTACCAGATTCTTCAAAAATTGGTTTTCTCATTGCTCTTTTTTGCTTCATCTGTGCGAGTAAGGCGTCGGTGTCATCATCATTTAAATCCAAGAACGTTTTCTTTGGAAGAAGACTTGAAGTATCGTTTTCTAAAAATAGACATAAACATAACGATTTATATACCGTGAATTTTCTCAATGTGAATAAATAAAAAAGCGCTATTTTTCCCCAAGCATAATCTTGGATATCTACCCATCATCAAAACTTTCCTCCTTCTTCATTTAAAAGAATCGATTCAGATCATTTATGCAAAAAAGCTCTATCTTTCAAGTTGACTATGTAGGTTTTTTTCTTTATATTATTGATGAAAACAAGTAAGGATATTATAGTCGGGCAAGGGCGACCATTAGACCCCATCTCTCCTTCATCTTGCACAATTGTTCACTCGTTTCGATAATAATGCATCAAAAAATTGCACATTATTTTCATGCAAAGACATATTTTATATGAAGGACTGCATATTGAGGGATGATGTGAACAAAACTTAGCAAGCTTGATTTCCTTCCCAGTTTCCGCCACAGACAACTAAAAATTATACTATCTCTCCGTACAAGGGCTAGCTTCTCATGATAGACTCCCATATACGTTATGGTCTAAACAATGGACCTATGGGATCCAAATTCCCTACCGTTAATTTTTTTCGTAATTTGCTGCTAAGGACCAATTTTCAGAATATTAGAATATTGAAAATTAAATCTTTTTCTGAAAAACTTACTATTCATGAGAAATCTTATATGGGATGGGGTCCAACAAATAGACCCATTTTGTTCGAATTTGATTCACTTAATTTTGATATCACATTGCTATCATGAACAAATTTTCATCAAAAGACTTTGACAATTAAGCCTTTTTGGTATATAAGAGTTCACATTTCGTAAGATACCTCACATGTGCTGGTATCCTAGAAACAGACCTATATGGACAAAATTCGGTAACATTGAAAGCTTGGTCAATTTGCTCTTACGAACCAATTTTCTCCATGAAAGACTGAATATTATACCTTTTCGCTATATATATATTCCGGTGTCATAGGAACCGTTATATGGGTGGCAGTTCAAAAAATTACACCAACCGATCCAAATTTTTCATATCGATTTGTAATGACAAGATACTGTTACACAACGAGTTTTGTCGGTAAATATTGAAAATTGCAATTTTTGCTTTTTATTTTGCCTTTTATGAATCGATCCAAGTTTGTCTCTTCGTCCGTCTGCCTTTCCCTCTAAAGGCCGCAGTTATTAAGATATTTTGCTGAAATTTGGTACACTGACGCGCTGCGGCTAAGGACGAACGCTATTGAAAATGGTTCGAGTCGGACCACATTTTCGAACACTTCATATTTTGAAAAGTCGTCGGTGGGGTAGTAATGGTTGGGCCCACTATACTGCATTTACTTATGTAATATTCAGAAGGGCTTAAGATAGACCCACCTATTATTACACCGATTCAGAAAATGGTTCTGAAGCGATCTAAGCTTGTTTTTTAATTAAATTATCATAACTGCCACATACTCTTTTATTGTGAACTTTTTGCGTAGACTTTAATAAGTATTCGGATCAGATGTCTATTCATTATTTCTCAAGTCATCGATTTTTGATTATTTTTCTAATTATTAAAGCATTTATTTTCTTTTTCCTTAAATTTCAGCTTAACTTTCGCAGGGATGTTGCTGAGCGAATCGATTTTTGAATGAGAATTCAAAATGTGCAGAGTATGCAAAGCTTTAAATTCTTGTATGGATTTTGCAGCTTAGATAGAATGATTTTGAATGATTGCGGTACTTTTGTGTTCCGATGTTCGAGTGGTCTCTGTTTATACATTTGCTCATAATAATGAAAGCATTATGGTAACTTACCGAAATTAATATCGTAATCTTTGAAGATTCCTGATATTTTATTGTTGCTGAAACAATTTCCACAGTCATCTTTAGGAAGAAGGCTAACCTTCGAGGTTATATCATCTTTCGTAGGTAGTTCAGTATCAAAATGAACGTCGCGTGGTCTATACATATGGCGGTAATTAAATTTACAATTTTTCTTCTCTTGATATATACTCACTTGCGGTATTCAGATTTGTTGTCTAAATCTTCCAATTGCTTCTTATAATATCTCTCTCCAAGATCGTAGTTGATGCCATAAATTCGAGTTCTACGATGACGATTGGAAGACATTTCCTTCAAGCGAAAACAAAAATAAAACGAAGAGAGGGAGAGAGAGAGTAAGAGAGAGTTATATTTAGGTAGTGAGCCATCTTCTAGAAAAAGAATGTCTCATTTTTGAATCTCCTTGGAGATCTTCCAAAATTTAACTTGAATGAAAATTCGCATATACTTATATAACGTAGCAGGTCCGTCCATAAGGCGACAGGTAAAGTATTTTATTGGAACGAAAAGCAATTCCGAAAGAAGTCTATGTTCGCCTTTAGTGCGAACCGTCGCTGTATACGATGAGCATCTCAAACCAATATATTAATATATTGTCAATCTATCATTTCTTCTGGCTTTGTAAGCAGCTCTTAAGAATATTTCTACATAACCTATAATTTCTGGACTCTTACGGGCGTATTTGCAGACAGAGAAAATTTCGGTGATTTCTCTAAATATTTTTCCAAATTTTCAACTAATATCTGCTTAGAATTATAACCTACAATAGTTAGCTATGATCGAAAGTGTGCCTTAGCTGGCGCATCACGCCTATTTCCGAATTTGATCTGTTAAGAATAGATCTCGAATTTCAAAGCTACGAGTGTTGTAAGACCAGCGTGACCGGATGGATACAATTAAATCATCTCAGAAGCTTGCGCTGATTTAAAATGCTTTTACCTTATTGGGTCGCAAATGCTTATTTCTCGATGTCACAACCCTTATAGCCCCCAGTTTGGTAATGGATGGTGAAATTCTTTATCGTCAATGCGCTAACTGATGTCGATTTGAACGCATATATAGCAAGCAAGGTAAACATAAACTTTCACCTACTTATCGGTAATTAAACTAAGCTTAGATTTGAAATATGCTCCAGATAGGAAATAAATATTTCAAATGTTTCTTCTACAAGATCGAAATGTCGGAATTATAATGTGCTCACCAATACTAGATAGAGAAATTTCTATCGGTCCGACCTTTTTCATCTCCATGACGGCACATAAAAGAAGGAGTGAGTAGCCTCAAAAGTTCAGGGATCTTTTACAGGCACAGGATTAATATTTACATATTACATTCGTGTGCATATTGGCTTCTGTTGTAAACTATCCTCTCACATAACCGTAATATAATAATAATTTCATGTCTTAAATTCAAATAACGTTGAAATGCCGCCAAATAAACTTTGTAAATAAAATTTTGTCTTTGATTAGCGCTTTTTGAGAGCTGCAAACGTGTTACGAGCGCAGATATTCTCCTATACTTTAAAGCTTGCAAAAAAATAAAAAGATTGGTCATGTCTAATGTCGATAATAAAAAACGACTATTATCGTATTGGCTTCGTTCATCCTAACTCAATATCCAAAAAAAAAAAAAAGAAAGAGGCTATTTCTAATTCTACTTATACTTCTTCAAAACTTCGACAAAAAACTAGATAAAGAAAAGAGCTTAAGATTTTAAATTCCGCAAACAATACACAAGGGCAAGTATTAGTGTTGACGCGCTTCATTCTTTCGAAATGAAATAGAAACAAGTGAGAACATTACAGCCGGGCAAGGTGGTCTATTAAATACCCTATACCTCATTGTCTAACAGAATTCTTATTTTTATAATAGCACAAAAAAATTATAACTTGTCTCTTTTTAGAGGCATATTTTTCAAGTGCAAATTTATGGGGAAGCGAACCCTAAACTCAACCAGAAGTAGTAGAAGTTTGTACGGAATTACTAAAATATTGTGGGTAAATTTTCATCACCGCATGTTATAATTTGGACTTTTCTGCTCTAAAAAGTATAAATTTTCGTCAAAATCCTTGTTAGGTAGGGTAGGATCCAAAAAATAAGCCGAGATGGTCGAAATTTGGCATAGTTAATTTTTTTACATTAAATTACTATTATGATATAATTTTCACCGTGAAGAATTGAAAATTATACCTTGTTGTCGCGTGAACTTCAGTTCTTGTTTTATGAGTGGAGATTCAAAGATTGCCCCAGCCGGTTCAAAGTTTTCATATTAATTTAGAATGCCGATGCACTACGACTTAGCCACTTTTGCCGACAAATTATGAAAATTACAATTTTTTTCAAAACAACGATTTTTCAGAATATAACCGATCCAAACTGTTTTCAATAGCGTTCGTCCTTGGGTCAAACCACGCCAGTGTAACAAATTTCATCAAAATATCTCAAAAATTGCGATCAGTAGCTTAAAAATAAATTTACAAGGACAGACATCAGACGGACAGACGAACAGACAGGCTTATATCGGTATAATAAAAGGTGGGTCCATCTTAATTCCTTCTGCCCCTGTACCAAACTTGGTGTAGATTTTGCTTGAAGTGATGAATGCTATTGTCTCGTAATAAAAAGTGATTGAAGTCATCCCAGTCGAGATAGACTTAACGTTCAATGAAAGCAAGGAGGAACGGGTATTAAAGCAGAATTTAGTCCGTAGCAAAGTAAAACTCAATGTCTACGTCACACAATTGGCAAAAAAAAACTGAACGTTCTAAGCACTCAATATAAATTAGTTTTAATTAGTTTTAAGCGTTTTGTATACCTTTTGTTAAAGATAAATTAATTAATTATATTCATTTATTAAAGGAAAGAAAAATATCGTGTCTGTCAAGAGATGGTTGTTAACATAGAAACAAAACTTTAATTAAAATTTTTTTTCCCTTCTCATTTAAAATATATATTATATGTCGATTATATTACATTTCGTTTTCACTGTAATGAAAAGGATAAGCGTGAGCTGAGGACTCGAGGCTGCAATCCAGTCGTGGCGAATAACCCTGACACTCTCACTTCCTATTTTTGCTGATCAGTAGTTGAAGATCTCCTTTGTTCAAATTATTACTGGATTCTCTGCTTCTTCTTTCACAATATTAGTTTATTAAGAACCCTGCACCCTTCAAACGCTCTCTGATCACGTAGAAATATATAATTAATAACTGTTTGAAATTCAAACAGCTCTTGTAGCACTTCATTGGCCTATTTTTGTACAGTTCGTATTTTTCTATCTGAAGCGAACAACGAAAATAATTCTTCAATGATTATTTAATATCTAGTTAAGTACGAGAGATTTCTTTTTTTCTATTGACTTGAAGAAAAAACAAATGAAAATATTATAGTCGGGCTAGGCCGACTATTCAACAGCCTACATCACATTTTCGAACTCAATTCTTATTTTTGTCATAGCATACAAAAATGATGCCCTGTTTTTATATGAATTGACTATTATGGAACTGAATATTAAAAATTGGACCCCTTCGGAAATTCCGTAAGAATGGTTCTGCGCAAGAGATTCAGCAAATTCAGCAAAATTAATTTTTATATCAAACTGCGATTGTGGGTAAATTTTCATCATAACATAATAAAATTTAAACTTTTCTGCGCTCAAAGAAAACAACTTTCATGAAAATCCTTACATAGGGTAGGACACAAACGTAGGTGCGGGTTGTCCAAATTTTGTCGAGTTAATATTTACATCAAATTAATATTATGGGTCAACGTTCATCGTGACACGTTAAAATCTACGCCTTTCTACCATAAAAAATAAAAATTTTCGTGAAAATCTTCATTCCTATGGTAGGGTCAAAAAAATAGGTACAATTTCGGTACAATTAATATTTTTTATCTTAAATTACTACTACGATATAATTTACATCAAGAAGCATCAAAAATTAGATCTTTTGTCTTATGAACTTCCGTTCAGGCGCGGTCTAAAGCTCCAGCCGGTCTAAAGTTTTCACACTAATTTTGAATACTGAAATATTTTTGTCGATCAAATTCTTTGATTTTTTTAGAATAGAACATTATATGGGAAATGGTCGAAAAAGTAGACCGATCCAAACCATTTCCAACAAAATTCGTCAATGGGTCAAAACACTTCAGTACCACAAATTTCGTGAAAATATCTCAAAAATTGCGACCTGTATTTTCATGGATAGACATCAGACGGATGGGCAGACTTAGATCAATTCAGAAAGTTATTCTGTAGCACAAGTGATATAGGCTATAACGAGAGTTTTAAGTAAAAAAATTTTCCGTTCGAGGAAATCTTTCATAAATCGGCAACAAAATCGATTAAAGCGCACTTCAGAAAAGAATGTTACCATGATGCTCTTGATAAAATATGAAGTGAGTCCGAGAAAGATGGAGAGCTCCCTAGAAACACGGCCGGCTTGAAAAAGATAGTTTCGAGAACAGCTCGATTAAAGATAAGTAGTTTATTACAGTTATTGATTTCGCTAAGGAAGACGACCTTTTGAGTCATGAAAAGAATCCGAATTACCAGCAAGAGGTCAATACTTAAATATGCAAAAGAATAGTTTAAAAAAAACAAGCGAGGCAGTTATATTCCACTGGGACTGAATCTTTTCTAACCATCATCGCTTGATGCCGGTCAACAACATGCAGACTTTATATGGTCTCTGAAGCTGCTTTCTGCTGCAATTGTTTTGACAAAAGAACGAGCTTTCAATGGTTTATAAGTACCGAGCAAAAATCCAAATTTTTTTTTTTGAAAACATACAGTGGTCTCAGATTGTGTTGTGCTGTGACTGTGTCCTTTGACTGATTTAGTTCAATTTCAATACAAAGCTGCGCGCAAGAACCTCCAAGGTTTCTGTCGAATTTAAAACCGATTCCTGATTTCTTGCGGCCACAAGAATATTTATTACAGGCATGACATAGATAGACAGACGGATGGGTACACAAATAAATGGACAAACATGGAAATGGGCATACTTCAAAGGGTTGATAATTTGCTGCTGATCGAGAATACCCTATGGAGTCCTTTAGTTTTCCTTCTGGGTGTTGGAAAGGTTTTGACAAAGTGAACACACCGTCCTGATCGTCCAGTGATGGCTACAAAATAAAATACAATTTACAAATTTGCATTGCTCTTTAATTTTCTTAGTATGGTTTATGACCTATGTCGTAATGAGTAAGACATCGCTTAACAGAAATCTTCGCGAACTGTCTGTGCGCAACTCGAATACTAAGCCTACATCTACGTTAGGAAACTGCAGAAGAAAAGTTAACTTCCGCAAGGATCTGATTTTATCTTATACCAACTCTTAAGCTGCTTTGCATTGAACCACCCCTATGAGTAAGGATTATAAATGCATTTCCAGTAGGCATGATGGAACTTTCACATCGATTCTGGTATCGTGTAATAGCTATAAATACTTATCTATTATACATTCTTTTATGTTGCCTTAGCTTTTTTGTACAGCGACAGAAAAATCCGAATTTTCATGAGCACTGTTCACTAAAACAACTGTAAGTTGTAAACTAATTCCTGGAATGTGTTGAAATTTTGAAGCATTTCGTTTGAAGGACGACACATATGGCTTGCGCGCTAAGCTTCCTACGAACTGACTGCGTGATGTATGAATGCGTAGTACAGCCAGTGTAAATGTTTACTACGCGAACCTTTTCTTGACGGACACAGTCCAAACGACCTGAACTCACGTAGTCTAAATTTTGTAAAATATATTTTTTTTTTGTCGAAGAACTTATTTCGCTTGGAATACCGAGTATTAGATCATGTTGCCGTATAAAGTGTTATTTTTCCTGAGAGTCCTGACATGGGAAGAGGCCTGAAAGATGATTCTTTATCGTTCTAACTTATCACAGCGAACTTGTATTTACCAATCGCTATTCTGAACCGCTTTTCATCAAAATTTAAACCATGCTTCATGCTTTAAAGGCCTTCATATTTTTAGGACAGTTTGATCTCACTTATCAAGGACCATCAAAAATTGTCATATTTTTTTCCTTTATTTTGATATAAAGAAGTATTTTTCATAAAAAGAAAGCCTTCGTCCTTAGACGAAAACATCCCCGCGGGCCCTTTTTCATCTATATTCCCTAACACAAAATTACACAAACAAACGTTAGACGGATTGACACACAGGCGAGCCGATATACAATCATTCGAAATTGATTGGTACAATAAAAAGTGGATTTGTCTCAAGTCCTTAATCTTAACACATTCTTAGCACTGATAGAATGCGGCATAACTACATCAGTCGATTGTGTTTTCAACATGTCAAAGTTCCCAAAAAAAAAAAAAAAAACAAATTACTTTTTTCGAATTTCATCGATTGTCCTGTGAATGTTACTTTAATTTGTTGGGTCTTGCAGCGCCATTGAACGTTGAATGTTGTAAGTGAAGATATAAGTGGTATAGGCAATTAGACGGTTGGAAAGTAAATGATACCATTGCTGCAAATCGATTGAGATTTCTATCCCGTTTAACATTGAGCTGAATATTAATACGAACGGTGGCTTCCCATCCCATTCTCAAGAAACAATCGCCCAACAAATATTTCTATTTAGTTCAAATTGTTTCTTATGCAAATGCTGCACTTGTTGTAAAGTCTATATAATAGGTCGTAAGTTATTGATAGGAATATCTTCAAATTGTCCTCAGATTTATTTCAAACATGGTTTGGCCAATATTCCAATATATATATATATATATATATATATATATCTAAAGAGAACATAGCGTTGATTTCTCCACCTCTTTTTCATTCAATACAAATGCAGTCTTTTTAGTTCGCTATGTCTTATATTATATTAAGCAGTCACAGAAAGCGCAGAGATATCTTCGTAACTGCCTGGTAAGGCATGCGAATTAAGAAGAAATATTTATGAATTAAGTCTCCTTTCAACAATTGCATGCTAACTTGTATATGACGTCTACGGATAAATAAATTCATGGAATAATAGCTTTATAAAGATAATTGTAGAAAGAGTGAAGTAAAAAACTTGCAAGCAAAACAAGTTAGAAGTGATTTTCAATTGACGGTTACAGGCCCTGGAATGGTAGAAAAATCGTTTAAGTAAAAGTGTGTTATTATTTTAGGAAGTAAAGTAATTATTACTAATTCTCCCGTATGTCATTGTCTCTTCTACGAAGACTTGCGTTCGTCCGCTTCATGTCCTCCTACTAAACTGTTAACTCACTTTTAGCGACCTTGGGAGGTATTTCAACAAATGGAATTCGACATCAAATTTCGTCTGACTTATTGTATACGTAATTACATTGCGAAGACTGTGAAAACTCATTCAAAATATCAAAGAACAGAGACTTGCGTAAAAGGTATTAAGGATGTGTAATAAATCGTTAATTATTCTTATTTTTTTTTTTTTTTTTTTTTTTTTTTTTTTTTTTTTTGT